CATCATCATCAGCATCATCATCATCTTATCACTATTAATAGTATTATTTTGATGATTGATCTTAATAGTCATGTTATTCGTCTTCGGCTTCGTCTCCTTCTTCGCCGTAACAGTGTTTGTCTTACTGTGATTCGTGATAGTCGTATTGGTGTGCTTATTCATACTGTTATTATTCTTCGTAACATTATGTTTAGTACTAGTGCTACTCGTTGTATTATTCGTAATATTAGTGTTCGTAGTCTTGCTCACCTCCTTCTTCATAGTATTCGCAGTCGTCTTCTTACTATTCGTATTGACACTAGTAATATTGTATTATCAACATTCGCATTACTATTATTAGCGTTGGTCTTCTTAGTATTAGTATTAGTGTGTTTGTTCTTACTAGTAGCATTAGTACTACTGTTCCTCTTCTTATTCGTAGTGTTCTTATTATTGTCATTATTAGTACTAGTAGCGTTATTAGTATTGCTATTGGTATTCCTCTGTATAGTGAAAACTATTCATAGTCGTCTTAATAGTATTAGTTGTGGTGTCGCTTCTTCTGTTAAGTCATATCAGTCTTCTTCCTGTTAGTAGTATTAGTATTCTTCTTAGTCCTATTATTTTTGCTAATAGTAGTAGTACTATTATTTCTCTTCTTACTGATATGATTCCTATTATTGTGTTCCTTATACTTGTTCTCTTTAGTTGTATTATTCGTATTCTTCTTATCAAGATCATTTTCCTTCTCCTTCGTATTATTACACTTCATATTATTATGATTCGTCTTATGATTCCTCTTCCTTTTCCTCCTCCTCCTCCTCCTCCTCGATATCCTTCTCCTTTTCCTCCTCCTTTCCCTCGTCCTCCTCCTCCTCGCCCTCCTCCTCTTCCTCCTCCTTTTCCCTCCACCTGCTCATCCTACTTCTCCTTCCTGCTCTCCCCCCCAACCCCTCCATCCCCTCTATCCCCGGAGGCCCCGGAGCCTCGCCGCGCGCACCGTCCACGACCTTTGGAGGTGCGGCACCAGTGGGGGGGGAAGGCTTGCGCCGGGTGCTGCTAGAAGGAGGGCCCTTGGTCCGGGGATGTCCCAAGGATCCCCTGGGCCCGGGTGGCCTCCAAAGCACCCTTCGCGAAACCCAGGGGGCCTCATGGGCTTGAGAGTGGCGCGACAAGCTGGGGGCACCTTTGCCCCGGACCACCTCTGGCAGCACCCGACCTGCGGCCGCGCGCGCGGGCGGAGGGCCACGCGGCCAGCGCCGAGGATCGGAAAGCGACTGTGGCGCGGGGTCCGGGCCTCGGCCTCCCCCTTCCATGCGACTCTATCTGATGACTTGCGGGGGCCGCTAACGCACCCCAACGCGCGGGAAGGAAAGCAGGCGCTCAAACGCACTCTTGCGCGGGCAGCTTGACCGAGAATGCCCGAGCAATCGACACCCTTACGTCGCTCAGATCAGACTGAGAAGAGAGAGCAGGGGACAAAGGGGGGGCGAGTGAAGTAGGGCGAGGAGGCGAAGTACGAAGGAAGAAGAGAACGAGAGAACAAGGGAAAAAGAGAAAGAGAACAAGAGAGAGAGAGAGGGAGAGGGAAAGGAGAGGGAGAGAAAGTTCTCCACTGACGCATGGGGTTTGGGGCAGAAGGACCTCTTTTCCCGACGCCATACTCTGAACGTGGGACCCCGCAGTTTTCGACCCGTTCCCCGGGGCAGATGTTTCATCCAGAACCGTTTTCGCTATCGGTCCCATCTCTGGAGGCCGACGGCATCATGTAATTAAAAGAATGATACCGGAGAAAAACCCAATCATAATCTTTTTAGGGCTTTAGGGCTATGGGGCTATAAGGCTATTGGCCCAGAAGGCTATGGGGCTATAGGGTTACAGGGCTACAGGGCCATAGGGCTATAGGGCTATTGGGTTATAGGGTTATGGGGCTGTAGGGCTAAGGGCTATAGGGCTATAGGACTATAAGGCTATAGGGCCATAGAGCTATTAGGGCTATAGGGCTATAGGGCTACAGGGTTATATAGGGCTATATTGAGCTATACAGAGCTACCGGGCACCCGGGCACCCGGGCACCCGGGCACCCGGGCACCCGGGCACCCAGGCACCCAGGCACCTGGGCACCCGGGCACCCCTGGGCACCCGGGCACCCCTGGGCACCCGGGCACACGGGCGTGCGGCGAAAATCTGCGGCAAACCTAACTTAACCATATGAATCCGCTAGGACCCCTACAGAGGCAAGCTTTGATTGGGGAAGAATTGCCGTAGCGAGCTTCTGTGACGCCTAGATCTAAAGTCTGGTGCAGGGGGAGCTGCATTTCTGCCGACGAGGGAGCGGCGGCAGGACGGGGCCGACCTGTCTCACGGTCCACTGGCTCACCTGGCGGGGGGAACGGCGCGGCGAGGGAGGCCGGAGCGCGCGAAGGGACCATCCGAGTACAGCCCGACGGTCACAGAGCACTCAGTGCGAGAGGGCCGAGATAAGCATCGCTCATCCGATCCAGATGCCCATCGTTGTGAAAATATCACGATGGAGGGTTTCCCCCAACGATCCTGTGAAGTTTGGTCCTCGCTTTGAAGAGACGGCGCCCCGCGTCGCCTTCCCTCCTGCACCCATCCATCCCTGCCTCTGCCCTCCGCTTGCCACTTTCAGCACCCACACACACGCACACACACACACACCTCACATGTTTCGTGGCACCATGAGGATCTCCAACAAAGGCCCCAGTGGGAAGGACCGCATGCCACAGCCGCCCGATTTCGGCACACCCTTCACATACTTCGCGGCCCCACAAGGAGCTCCAGTAAAGGCCCAAACGACAAGGGCCGCGTTCCAACGCCGCACCCATGTCGGCACACACACACACACAAACACACACACACACACACACACACACACACACACACCCTCACACGCTTCGTGGCCCATGAGGCTCAAGAGGGAGTTCCACCGAAGGCCCATATGCCGGGATCCGCACGCCACCGCGGAACCCATATCGGCACACCCCTCACACACGTCGTGGCCCCGTAGGGAACCGCAGTAGGCCCCAGTGGGAAGGTCCGCGTGCCACCGCCGCACCCATACCAGAACACCCCTCACACATTTCGTGGCCCCACAGGGAGCCCCACAATGGGAGAGTCCGCATGCCACCGGCGAACCTATTTCGGCACTTTTCCTCCTCTTCCTCCTCCTCCTCCTCCTCCTCCTCCCCTTCCCCTTCCTCCTCCTCCTCCTCCTCCTCCTCCTCCTCCTCCTCCTCCTCCTGCTCATCCATCCATCCATCCATCCTTCCATCCATCCATCCGTTCTCCTCCCCCCTCATGATGCGTGACAGTCCAGTGATCCGCAAACAATATGTGAGGAGTGTTTTGCCACTCTCCGTCAGGAGCGGAGCTTTCGCAACCCGATTAAACGGCGAAATGTCATCGTTTTCTTCAGTCTTCTTCCTACACTACTTTCATGCTCAGATCCAAACGACTTATTGGGGACGTACTTCTTCCCGCCATTGCTTAAGATGTTGTGCCGTTAAACTACGGCCGGCGGCCGCGCGGGCGCGCGGCGGGCGGGGAGGTCTTTTCCTCGCGACCAAACCCGAAACAGCTTGGACAAGTCATGGATGTCCGGCGGCGGCGGGGCAACGATGCTGAGGCAACGCAGGGGTGTGACTAAATCAACTCCCCTCGCGGCCTCCCCGGCAAGCTCCACACGCGCGGGTGGACGTTAACGATTTGTCAACGCCCCGACTTGCAAATATATACATATATGTGTATACATATATATATATACATACATACATACATACATGCATGCATGCATGCATGCATGCATGCATACATACATATATACATACATACATACATACATACATACATACATACATACATACATACATACATACATACATACATACATACATACATACATAAATAAATACATACATACATACATACATACATACATACATACACACATACACACACATACACATACCACACACATACACATACATACATACATACATACATACATACATACATACATACATACATACATACATACATACATACATACATACATACATACATACATACATATTAGAATCATCGCGCGCGCTTCGCGCGCGCTCAGGTTCTAGCCCAGGCCAGGGAGAACCCTCGATGATCCTGGACAGCACCATCCAGCACAGGCGCGTGACATAGTCGTGCCTCCTGCAGGCCTCTTGGGGAACTCTTGGGTCTTCGTGGGGGCATCTGAAGGGCTTCTGGGGGCTCTCCGTGCTTCCGCAATTGGCTGGCTCTCGGAGGCACCTCTTGGGTGCTTCATTGGGGGGGCGTCTCGGGTGTTTTTTGAATCCCTTGGGGACATCGTCGGGGTTCTCTGGGCGAAGGTGATGTTCTGGAATCTGAAGCCGTCATCGGCCGTCTTGGCTGCGTGGAGGCCCGACTTGAGGCCACCTGGGGCCGCCACATTGAGGCAATCCGGAAGCCTCCCCGGGGCCTCCTGGAGGCAGTTTTGACGCATCCAGGGCACTCTTGGACCCATCGTGGGGCCTCTTGTACGTCTCCTAGGTGCCTTTGGCAGCCTCTTAAGAAACTTTGGGGGGCCTCGTCGGACTACTTGGGGGCCTCTTGGGGTCTCCTGTGGGCCTTTTGGGGGGAGGCTCTGCTGTTGGGTTCGCATTCCCCGTCTTGGGCATCTCTTGGGGCCGGCTTGGGGCCCTCTCGGGCCGTCTTGGGCACCTCAGGCACCGTCTTGGGGCCATCGTGGGCCGTCTTGGGGCCCTCTTGGACGCCTCTTCCTCTATCTTGGCGTGGTATCGGAGGCCGTGCCTCTAGGGGCCTTCGTGGGAAGGCTCTTGGAACCTCTTCGGCTCTCTTGAAAGTTTCTTGGGGGCCGCTTGAATCCTATTGGGGGCCCCTTGGGGCCTCATGAAAGCTTCTCGGGGTGGAAAGTTCGGACCTCAGATTCGTGTTACACCTCTTGGGCTCCTCTTGGGGCCGTCTTGGGGCCCTCTTGGTCCATTTTGGGCGCCTCTGGCACCGTCTTGGGGCCCTCGCGGGCCGTCTTGGAGCCCTCTTGGAGGCCTCTTCGGCTATCTTGGAGCGGTCTTGGAAGCCTTTTGTGCAGTCTGGGAGACACGGGATGCCAAAAGGCTGAAACCTCGAAAATCAATGGAACAACGATTAGAAAACAACGAGTTTGCCTCTTGCAGCCTTCGTGGGAGGCCTCTTGGAACCTCTTCGGCCTGCTGGGGGGTTTCTTGGGACCCTCTTGGGGCCTGTTAGGGGCCTCTTGGGGCCTCCTGAGAGCCTTTCGGGGTGGAAAGTTCGGACTTTCGGTTCGTGCTACCCCTCTTTGCTTCTCTTGGGTCTCAGGCCGCTTTGGGCGCCTCTGGCGCCGTCTTGGGGCCCTCGTGGGTTGTCTTGTGGCCGTCTTCGGGGCATCTGGGGCCGTCTTGGAGCGGACTGGGGCCTCTTGGGCCGTCGTGGAGCGTCGGGAAACTGAAAAGGCGAGAACTCGAACAACCAAACAAAGACAATGATGTTTGCCTCCTGGTGTTCCTTGGGAGGCATCTTGGAAGCCTCTTGGGGAGTCTTGGGGGCCTCTTCGACAATCAGGGGCTAATCCTACCAGCCCTCTGGGCGTCGGTGGTTTAGAGAGGTTGCTCTTCCACCCCTCCTTATTCCCCTGCGGGGAGGGGTTGTCCTTGTTATCAATATACACCCCCTCCCCCAGGCGACTGAGAGCCAACCCGAGTCCATGAGGGCACCCCCCACCATCCCTTGCAAAAACAATACAAACACACACTCTGTCTCCAAATTCGGAACATGCGCAGCGAACCCGATGCGGCCTCCCCCCACCATCCCTGTCAAAAAACAATACAGAGTACACTTGGCGGCGGCGGCGGCTGCGGCGGCTGCGGCGGCTGCGGCGGGGGCAGCGGCTGCGGCGGCTGCGGCGGTGGCGGGGGCGGGGGCGGCGGCGGCGGCGGCGGCGGCGGGGCGGCGGCGGCGGTGGCGGCGGGCGGCGGCGGCAGCGGTGGCGGCAGCGACTGCGGCGGCGGCGGCTGCGGCGGCGGCGATTTGGCAGCGGGGGGCGGCGGCGGCGGCGGCGGCGGCGGCGGGGGTTGGCGCGGTGGCGGGCGGCGGCGGCGGACAGCGGCGGCGGCGGCGGCGGCGGCGCGGCAGCGGCGGCGGCGGGCGGCGGCGGCAGCGGCGGCGGAGGCGGATTCGCCCCAGGTAGCTGCCCATCCAAAGACGACAGCTGCATATGCTGCGGCTCGGGTCAGGCTCGGGTGCTACGTATGTGTTGGGAGGGCGGGTTGGGAGTGAGCGAGACTGCTTACGGGCGGGGAGGGCGTCTTGACCCCTCCCGTACCCTCTCCCCTGGACGTGGACCTGGACGGGAGGGGTCGCGAGGTGTCAGGGCGTCCAAAACGGGTTCGGCGAGGAAGCCAAAATCATTGATGTTACTGAGGTTTTGGCCCCGTTTTGGCCTCCTGAGGGGGGGACTGCGATTAGTACCCCCCCCCCCTCCTATGATCGATCTCAACCCAAGATGGCCCCCAAAGATTGCCCCCAAGGCTCACAAGGGTGCCCCAAGAGGGCCCCAAGAGCTGGCCAGGAAGCCCAAAGAGGCCCCCAGGATGCTCCCAAGAGGCTCCCAAGAAACCCCCAAGAGGCCCCAAGAGATCCCCCAGAGGCACCCAAGATGCTCCAAGAGGCCTCGGCCAGAATGCCAGATCATTGATTTTACTAAGTTGTTAGCCATATGTTGGCCTCTTGGAGGGGGCACTGATTAAGATGACTCCAAGAGCGCCTGGGAGAGCCCACGACGACCTCCAAGATGGCTCAAGATATCCCAAGATGTCTCATAGTGGCTTCCTCTGTATGCTGCCCACTTCCCTAATCGAGGCAATTCCTCTGTGCATCGTTTCTGGATGGGCTGGTGGGGATTCGCGAAGCGTCAACAATTCTGTGGTGATCTCGGGCCGTCATTGGTCGTTTTCGCAATCTGGAATCACTATTTCTGGCGATCCAGGGCCGTCTTCGGGCGATCTTGGAGAACCCCCAGCGCCCCGGCATGGCCCCCAAGGCCCCCGTCCTGCCATGCGCTGTCGAGGGCCCCGTCCCGGGCCCCCCCGCCCCATGCCTCGTGCCTCGGGCCTTCCTTTGGAGTCTGTTGGGGCCTCTGTTGGCCCGTCCAAGAGCCGATTTCGGCCGTTGGGTAGCTGAGCTGTCATGGGGTCCTCAGAGAGCCCTCTCCGACCATGTAGGGATCCTCCGGTTGCTCCCTCGGGCCCCCATGGGGACTCTCTCGGGCCGTTTCGTAGCTCTCTGGTGCTGCTCGACGCTCGCTTGAGGCTGTCTTGGAGCCCTCTTGGAGGCCTCGTGGACCGTGTGGCGCCGATTTGGGGAGCCTTTAGGGCTGACGTGGCCGCCGATGGAACACAAGAAGCGAGCATCATACAAATGTCACTGTTCCGCAGGAAATGCTCGTTTTTGCACCTGGGAGTTTTCTCAGCGGCCTCCTGGACCGTCTTCAGGGAATCCTGGTAGTCCTTTTGGAGCCCTCTGAAAGCCCACTTTGGCCGTTCCCGGTCCCTCTTGGCTCGTCGTGGGGAGCTCAGCCCGTCTTGGGGCCCTTCTGGGGCCCTCTCCGACCATGTAGGAATCCTCTGGTGGCCCCCTCGGGTTTCCTGGGGGCTCTCTTGGGAAGTCTAGTAGCTCGTCTGTGCCGCCAGCGAGAGGATGTGCACCGTGTCGCCTCCCGCGCCCGCGCGCCCCGCCCTTGGGCGTCAGCGTCGCCACTCCCCAGTGCCTGGGAAAGGTCGGCCCAAGAGGCTGCGGCAACTGCCCCCGCCTCGCCCCTAGAGGGCCACGGGCCAGTGCCCAGGCGGGCGCGGCTCGCTGCCGCATCTGCCCGCCTCCGGCCGCTCCTCGAGCAGCGTGCCGCCGGCCGCGGCCGGCCTCGGAAGCTCGCGCGCCGCCCGCGGAGGCTCCAGCCGCCCGCTCGCGGCCTCGGCGATGGCCTGCGGTGTGCCGCTCGAGCGGCGCGGCCGCCTCCGCGAGGCGCCTGCCGCCGCCCCGCCGAGCTCGGCCTCCCGGAGGACGACGCGCACGACCCCGCGGCCGCGGGGCCGCCCGTCGGGCGGCGGCGCCAGGTCGAGGCCCAGGAGGGCCGAGAGCCCCTGCCTCGTCTGCATCCTGCGCGCCAGCCCACTCTGGTCCGTGGAGGGCTTGAAGTGGATCCGTGTCGGGTACTGCAGCTGGGCGGGGCCGGGGCCGTCCTCCAGGAGCATGCACCACGACGCCTGCGCCCAGTCGATGAAACCGTGCCGCTGGGACGGCCGCATCGCGTTCAGGAACCCCTCCCTTGAGTCCACATGCTGCGCGAATGTGGAGGTCTCGTGCTGCACAGTACAATTCGGAGACAAGACGTCGACCCACACCATGGGATCCTCTTTGCTCAGGCCGTCCGAATCCAACGAAGCATCTTCTGAGTTCACAGAAGATCCCTGGCTGGAAGGGACGGAACCGCCCATGGCAGGGACGGAACCGCCCGAATCTGCCGAAGACGCGCGCTGCAATCTGCCAAGTCTGCCACCGTGCCGCATCCTTGTCGTGTCTTCCCGCAGCATAGGGCATGTGTCTGTGAACTCGCGAATGCCGACGAAGTACGCCGGGTGCCCTTCTCGATTCACGAATCGCATGCAGAACATCTCAACGTCGAGAGGTATGCTGGACGAGTCTTTCATGGCCACGTGGAATGCTGCGCTAAGACTCACCGCGTCCTCGCTCAGCAGCCAAGCCCGAGCCATCTGCTCAGAAAACTTCTGGCGATCCTGGTCGGTCGCCAGGTGGGATGTTAAATACTCACCCAAGATAGGGCGCTGTGGGTTCAATAATAGCATGTCTACAAGCTCGGGGGAGCCGTCCTGCAATCGGAAATCGCTGTCGAGCTCCACGACAGCGTCACAAACGCAGCGGAGTACCGAGCGCGCAGCCTTGAGCTCGTTCCTCGAAGTGTGAGCTTCATTCTCGTACTGCGCAACCAATGAGGCTGAAATGTGTAAGAACACAACCAACATTGCGAAGATGGCAACTGCTGCAAGTATATGAGAAATCCTGTCCATGCGTGCTGGTAGACAATCTTCGTCGGAGCCGGACATGATCGAACTGCATACCGAGATGGTCGTGACGCAAAGCCATACGATGTTTAGTCGGATGTTCATATTCAGCAAGCACGCGAGCATCGTGGCAGCAAAAGGTAGCAGAGTATAAATGGAGGCCTCTGTTGCTGACTGTCCAACTGGAGAATGCCCCACTGCGACACCGGCAACAATAATAGAAGAAAACATGTCCAAGCTCCTTAACGTCACGATTCGAGGAAAGGCCCACATGCCAAGAATCGTGAAGCAGACCACCATCAGGCAGACGTCCTGCGTGGCGGAGTTCCTGCGCGGGACCGGCCTGGTGGCCCTTTGTAGCGCCATCACCAAAACAATCGCAACGGCCACGGTGGCGTATGGAACCGAGGCGTGGGCGCGGACCAGGCGCCTCTTCTGCAGCTCCCACTCCACCTGCTTCGCGGAGGGGCCGTCCGCCGCGCCCACGAAGAGCCACGGGCCCGCACGCCTCCACAGCGCCGCGAGGCCCTCGGAGAGCGAGGCCACCGAGCGCCCGGGCGACCTGTGCCTCGCGAGGCTCGCCGCGCGGAGGACCAGCACACACCCGCACAGCAGGAACCAAAGGGCGGTCGTGAGAAAAAACACCTTGCGGCGGATCCCCCCCGGCTCCTCGTCCGAGTAGTTCACGGCGGCGGCCTCCATCGCGTCCCGGCGGCCCGCGGCGCGGCCCGCCGCGCGGTCCCCAGAAGCACGGGCGCCCTTGAGTCACAGTGGCTTGAGCCAAAAGGCTACGGATCGTGGGGGTGTCCTCTTGGGCTTTGTGTGGCCCGTCTGGGAGCCCGTTTTGGCTATCCCAAGCCCCTCTTGGCATGTCATGGGTAGCTGAGCTGTCTTGGGGTCCTCATAGAGCCCTCTCCGACCATGTAGGGATCCTCCGGTTGCTCCCTCGGGCCCCCATGGGGACTCTCTCGGGCCGTTTCGTAGCTCTCTTGTGCTGCTCGACGCTCTCTTGAGGCTGTCTTGGAGCCCTCTTGGAGGCCTCGTGGACCGTGTGGCGCCGATTTGGGGAGCCTTTAGGGCTGACGTGGCCGCCGATGGAACACAAGAAGCGAGCATCATACAAATGTCATTGTTCCGCAGGAAATGCTCGTTTTTTGCACCTGGGAGTTTTCTCAGCGGCCTCCTGGACCGTCTTCAGGGAATCCTGGTAGTCCTTTTGGAGCCCTCTGAAAGCCCACTTTGGCCGTTCCCGGTCCCTCTTCGCCTGTCATGGGAAGCTCAGCCCGTCTTGGGGCTCTTTGGGGGCCCTCTCCAACCATGTAGGGATCCTCCAGTGGCCCCCTCGGGGTTCCTGGGCACTCTCTTGGGTCGTGTTGGAGCTCTCTTGTGCTGCTGGAAGCTCTCTTCAGGCATTCTGGGGGCTCTCTTGGGGGTCTCTGTGGCTGTCTGGGGCTCATTGTGGGAGCATCTGGGACCGTCGCGGCCGTTGGTAGGACTGAAAAGAAAATCTCCAGAATTCCTCTTCCTATAGTTTTACAAGCCCGGCGGGGGGGGGAACCATCCCCCCCCCACCCCCCCAAGACTGGACCCCCGGGATCTGGGGTTCTCGGGCTCCCTTGGACGTCCTTGGGAAAGGTCACCTGGCTTTCCGGGTCTCCACAAACGCCGTGCCAGCAGACCCAGAGCGATCCGAGGGTCATCAGAAAGGCTCAAGGGAGGCCCCAGGCAACACAAGAGCGCTCCAAGAGGGACTCCAATTGCGTCAGGACGGCCCAGAAGACCCCCAACGCACCCCAAAAAGCTTTCCAAGGGGCCTTCAAAGCACAACAATCGTCCCATTCCCTTCGTAAAAAAACTTACAAATTTAGCATATTCGCCTTTCGGATTTCATCAGCTTTCAAGACGGTTTCAAAGCCCCCGAGATCGCCTCCAGACGCCCCAAAAGGCCCCCTAGAAAGCTTCAAGACGGCCGAGCCGGGCCCCACGATCGCCCACGAGAGCCCCAAGACAGCCCATAATGGAACCAAGAGGCCCCCCAAGGGCTCCCAGCACAGACCCAAAAGGGCCATGGGAGGTCCCCGGAAGTGCCCAAGATGGGTCCAAAGGGGGCTCCAGCGGGCCCAAGCTCCCCAAGACGGCCCAAGAAGGCCCCAGGACGGCCCATGAAGGCGCCAAAACGGCCCACGAGGGCCCCGAAAACACCCCCACGATTCGATGTTTCCGAATGCCAACATAATGACCTCCAAGGCACCCCAACAAGCTTTCCAAGGAACCTTCAAATCACAAAAATCGCCCCATTCCCTTCGAAAAACTTACAAATTTAGCATATTCGCCTTTCGGATTTCATCAGCTTTCAAGACGGTTTCAAAGCCCCCGAGATCGCCTCCAGACGCCCCAAAAGGCCCCCTAGAAAGCTTCAAGACGGCCGAGCCGGGCCCCACGATCGCCCACGAGAGCCCCAAGACAGCCCATGATGGAACCAAGAGGCCCCCCAAGGGCTCCCAGCACAGACCCAAAAGGGCCATGGGAGGTCCCCGGAAGTGCCCAAGATGGGTCCGAAGGGGGCCCCAGCGGGCCCAAGCTCCCCAAGACGGCCCAAGAAGGCCCCAGGACGGCCCATGAAGGCGCCAAAACGGCCCACGAGGGCCCCGAAAACACCCCCACGATGTTTCCGAATGCCAACATAATGACCCCCAAGGCACCCCAACAAGCTTTCCAAGGGGCCGCGTCAAAGCACAAAAATCACCCCATTCCCTTCGAAAAATTTACAAGTTTAGCAGATTCGCCTTTCGGATTTTATCAGCTTTCAAGACGGTTTCAAAGCCCCCGAAATCGCCTCCAGACGCCCCAAAAGGCCCCCTAGAAAGCTTCAAGACGGCCGAGCCGGGCCCCACGATCGCCCACGAGAGCCCAAAGACAGCCCATAATGGAACCAAGAGGCCCCCCAAGGGCTCCCAGCACAGACCCAAAAGGACCATGGGAGGTCCCCGGAAGTGCCCAAGATGGGTCCGAAGGGGGCCCCAGCGGGCCCAAGCTCCCCAAGACGGCCCAAGAAGGCCCCAGGACGGCCCATGGAGGCGCCAAAACGGCCCACGAGGGCCCTGATGACACCCCCACGATGTTTCCGAATGCCAACATTCATTGATTTTGCTCCGATGACATTTCGAATTGTGACCCAGTCGTTGAGGAGCTCGTGACATGCAGCGAAGATGCCCGACGATGCCCGTACGAAATGCATATGCATGTTCATACCTGACACACATATATTTATGTGTACATTTGTACGCTGTATACACACATACAGCAACGTAAGCCGGTTGTGTAAACCTAGACATTTATACGGAACGTGCATGCACGTGCGCGTGTATACATGCATGCGCGCATGTACGCACGTACGCATTCCGCTTGCGTGCAGAACTCAAAGGACCAAGTTGCATGGCGCGCAGCGCCAATGCAGTCTTGTGTGTATATAAATGTTTGTATGTATACATATATATATGTGTGTATGTGTAAATATACATACATACATACATACATACATACATACATACATACATACATGCATGCATACATGCATACATGCATGCATACATACATACATACACACATACACGAATACATTAATACATACATACAGACAGACAGACAGACAGGCAGGCAGACAGACAGACACACACACACACACACATACATACATACATATATACATGCAAACATACATACATACATGCAAACATACATATATGTCGGCGGTGCCCGGTGCGGAGCGAACCCCCCCCGGTAATCTCTCCTGGGGGGGTTCGAGCTGGCGCCATTCCCGGTGCGAGCCTGCACGAAACCCCCCGATAAACACGACCTCCTCTGGTAGGCTGCACGAAACCCCCCGGTAAGGACGCAACCCCTCCGTAAGCGGCGCGCTCCTGGCACGCGCGAACCCCAGCCCCGACGCGCGAATGTTACCAGGACGGGCAGGAACACGGCGGCGGCATTGCATCCCAGGGCCGTGCCGGAACACGGCGGCACTGCTCTTCTCTACGCGGCCGTGCCGTCGACCCCACACAGCGGCTCTTGGGAGTTGCGCCGCAGCCTCTCGTATTGTGGCCACGAGCCACAATACGAAAGGCTGCGGCGGAACAAAGGCGAGCAGACGCGAATAGAGAACACAAAGCGAGCACACGCCACACTTCGACAGGGAGCCACCCTTCCCAACGGCCCCCCTGCCCCCCCCCCAACCCACCCCCCACTCCCACCCCCCCACTCCCACAGGGAGGGGGGGGGGAGCCCAGGTAGACGCAGTGCGGCCTGCACGAAACCCCCCGGTAAAGCGAAAAGGGAGGACCCAATGCGGCCTGCACGAACCCCCCCGGTAAAGCGGCAAGGGGGGGGTGTTCTAAGCCGCTGGCGGCACCCGGTGCGGGCTGCACGAAACCCCCCGGTAGTGCACGAAACCCCCCGGTAGTGCTGGGGGGGGGTTCGTGCCACGGCGCACCGCCAACATATATACATACATATGTATATATATACACATATATATATATATGTATATATACGTGTGTGTTTTTCCATCAGCAATCCTTGATTGCTGCCCTTGGAGGGCCTTCTCGGCGGCCTCTTGGACCGTCTTGAATGCCGTTGTGGCCGTCTAGGAGCAGTCTTGGGCTGTCTTCGAGCGCTCGTGGCCCGTCCGGAAGCCATCTCAGTGCGCTCTTCAGCCACCTTCCAGACAACCTGGGGCGCTTCGGGCGCATCTTGGGCCAGCTTGGGAGCCTCCAGGGGGGGCTGGAGCCCCTTCTGATTCCTCTTGGAGCCCTCAAGGCCCCCTCTGGCCCCCGTGCGAACCAGAGGTCGCAGTTCTGGGCCCTCGCCGTGGCCGTCGTCGTCGTCGTTCGCCGATCGGCGGCGTCAACTGTTGTCATCGTCGTCGATCGTCGTCCTCGTCGGTCGTCGCCGTCGACGACCGTCGTCGTCATCGTCTATCACCGTCGCCGCTCACCGCTGCCGATCGTCGGTCGCCCTCGAGCCCCCTCCCCCCACTCCTCCCACTCCTCCTCCTCCTCCTCCTCCTCCTCCTCCTCCTCCTCCTCCTCCTCCTCCTCGTCCTCCTCCTCCCCCTCCTCCTCCTCCTCCTCCTCCTCCTCCTCCTCCTCCTCCTCCTCCTCCTTTTCCTCCTCTTCCTCCTCCCGCCCGCCTCCTCCTCCTTCTCCGTTTCCTCTTCCTCCTCCTCCTTCGCCCTCTCCGTCTCCTCCGCGCGGAAGAAATCCAACAACATCTCGCGCAAATCAACAAATTGGCCCTCCGGGCCTTTCTGAATGTCCTTCTAGGGCCCTTTGGGGGCCGTCCTGGAGCCCTCTTGGGCGCCCCGGGACCCGGAAATCATGTCCCCGGAGAGGTTTCCGGGAACATGATTTCGAACGGGGCCCTCTTGGGCCTCCCTGAGACCGGCTTGGGGGCCTCCTTGGCTGGCTCCGGGGCCTCTTGGGCCGTCTTGGGGGGTTCCGTGAACCCCACGGGACGACCCTTTTGGGCCGCGCTGGGCACTCTTTGGTCTTTCTTGGGCTGTCTCGGGGCTGAGGGCGAGGAGGAGGAGGAGGAGGAGGGCGAGGAGGGTGCGGGGGAGGAGAAGGAGGAGGAGGAGGAGGAGGAGGAGGAGGAGGGGGGAGGATGGAGGAGGGGGGAGGGAGGGGGAGGGAGAGGGAGGGAGGGAGGGAGGGAGGGATGGAGGGGGGAGGGGGAGGGAGGGAGGGGAGGGAGGGAGGAGAAGGAGAGGAGGAGGAGGAGGAGGAGGAGGGGGAGGAGGAGGAAGAGGAGGAGGACGAGAAGGACGGGTCCCCGAA